TCCAGCGGAGCTGAAGAACGCATCTCCTGCTTCGAGCGCCTCGCCCTTGGCCGCCGCTTTCTCGCTCAGCTCCGCCCGAGAGCGTGGCTCATCGACGGGGCCGTGCTCCCGAGAGCAGTCAGTGTCAGCGGGCCCAGGAGGCGCAGCCACGGCTGCCGCTTCTGCTCGCCTTCGCCGCTCGAGCCACCGCCTCGCCAGGGGCGCATCCGCGGCTGCCGCTTCGAGCGCCTCGTCCTCGGCCGCCCGCTTCTCGCCGTCGCCGCTGCTCTCGGCCGCCTTGCCAGCCAGCCTCTCGCACGGCTCATCGCACGGCTCATCGCATGGCCTCGTGCTGACCTCCTTCGGCCGACGCTGAGGCCGACCCTCCAGCTTCACTGTTCGGCCTGATCTGGCGAGGGACCGAGGGCCCACTGACGAGCTGATGGGCACTGGTCGATCGCATCCTGTGCGCTTCTCTTCGACCGGATTCGCCCTCCACGCGGAGGATGCGATCCTGGCGCCAGGCCGGTACCATCTCAGGAGGCCGCTGTGGGCCACTTCGCCGATCACGCAGTAGAGCGACTTCCCGAATCCCCACCACATCTTGCCAGAAGGCTCGTCAGGCGTCAGAAGGAACGTCTTAGGACAACCATCCTCTGTCCTAAAAGTGCACGTCCAACGTTGGGTTGCGTCTGGGCGATGTGGCGTGCCGACCAGCACACGTCGTGCTCCTGTAGTCCTGCATCTGATGTGATACGTCTGGCCCGTGTCGTCTCTCCACTCGCGGCATAAGTGAGATCCGAAACCGGCGCCATGCTCGTCGCACGTGGCCGTGCTCTTGGACGCAGCAGTCCAGGCGTGCTCTGCCGCGCGTTGGCGCAGAGCTGGCTGCCAAGGCATGCTTATCGTGGACATGCCTCTCGCAGTCTGGTCAAGAATCGCGAAAGGTACGGTACGCGCCCGAAAGGAAGGCACTTCTTGAGCTCAAGAAGGTACGTGTCGCGTCCCCGTCGAATCCCACCAGCCCTCTGGGCGTAGGTGGTTTAGGGAGTTTCCTCTTCCAACCTCCTTCTTCCTCTTCGGGGAGGGGTTTACCCCTCCCCCTACCCCCTTCCCTGGACCTGGACGGGGCGTTCCGCGAGCGGTCGGAGCGTCCAAGATGGCCCAAGATGGCTCCAAGAGCGCCTCGGAGAGCCCAAGATGGCCTCAAGACCGCCCCAAGACGCCTCCAAGAGGCCAAATAGCCTCCCAAGGAGGCCTCCAAGAAGCCAAAATCCTTCAAAAAACCTTAGGAAAACCCATGATGTTTGCCTTCTCGCCGTTTCGCTTCCGATGGCCATTCGAGGCCTCACGATGGTTCCAAGAGGGCCCAAGAGGGCCCCAAGAGGGGCCCAAGATGGTCCCAAGACGACCCCAAGAGCGCCCAAGAGCGCTCCAAGAGCGCCCCAAGAGGGGTCCAGGAGGCGATTCTGGGGGTTCCCGAGGGGGGGCGCGAATCAGGGAACCCCTCTTCTTTGATCGATCTCCTCCAAGATGGCCCCAAGAGGCACCCAGGAGGCCCCAAGTGGCGCCAAGATGGCTCCAAGGTGGCCCCAAGATGGCCCCAAGAGGCCCTCAAGAGGCCCCCAAGAGGGCCCTAAGCGTCCCCAAGAGGCCCCCCCGAGGCACTCAAGACGCCCAAGAGCCCCCCAGGACCGCCAAGAGAACCCCCAGACGTCCCAAGATGCTTCCAAGAAGCGCCCAAGAGATATCCCAAGAGGCTCCGAAAGTCATTCAAGAGGCCTTTGACTCTTCTGATCGCCCTTATCCTCCTCTTCCTCCCCCTCATCATCACCACCACCACCACCACCATCATCATCATCATCATCATCATCATCATCATCATCATCAGCATCATCAGCATCATCATCATCATCATCATCATCATCATCACCACCATCACCATCACCATCACCATCACCATCACCATCACCATCACCATCATCAAGACCACCACCATCATCGTCATCATCAGCATCATCAATATCAACATCAACATCATCATCCGCCTATTCCTCCTCCTCCTCCTCCTCTTCATTCTTCCCTCCCCACCCTCATCATCCTCCTCTTCCGCCTCCGACTCCTCCTCAATCCCCCCCCCCCTCCCTTGGGGTACGACGGCCTCCCCAGCCCTTTGTTCCTCTGTATGCTGCCCCGCTTCCATCATCACCTCTACTCGCCTGGGCGTCGGTTCTGGATGGGCTGGTGGGGATACGAGAAGCGTCAAGAATTGGGTTCAGGCCCTCCTAGAGAATCACAGAACACAGCACGGGCAGATCGATTCTTGAAGAAGGAGGGCGCTTGAAACAGAGTGGGGCCTGGGGGTCCAGGAATACCTGCTTTCAACGACAGGCGTGTATTTGGGGGGGGGTAGCGAGGGCTGCCGACAAAGGCCCGTTGGGGCCTCTAGCGGGGCCCTCTTGGGCCCCAGAGCGTACAGAACAGAAAATCTACCCTCATAAGAATCACCCCGACACGCGAAGCCGTTCAGTAAACGCACCCAAAGAAAGATCGAACAGGGCAGGGCTTTTTGATAAACGCCAGGGGCCGTGTCGTCAACACCATCTATCGGGCCCGCGTGGCTCTTCCTCCCTTCAGAGAGGGCCTGGAGGGCCCGCAAAGAGCACCTCTCCTCCCCCTCTTTATCTATCGCCCCCCTCATTCATTCGCGCCCAAGAATGGGGTAACCAACGGGTGCCGATATCGCTACCACCTGGACCTCTCCAGGTTTACGTCCTGACCAGAACTTCTAGGCGAATCCAGCGGTGGCGACGAGATCCTCCCGGGAGGCCCGCGCAAAGGGGAAAACGAGGGAAGGATAGAGTTAGGTCGGGGATGTCCACCTACACGGGGATGTTGGATGAAAAATCCCCAATACCCCACAAATGCTCAAGCATGCCCCAACATATGCTCAAAAATGGTCCCCATACTAGTCTCTTACTGTTTCTGAATCTTCCTGCAGAGGGGCGCGCCCGACTGAAGGGTAGAGGCATGCATGGGTACCTTCTCCTCCTCCTCCTCCTCCTCCGAGAGAGGCAACTCTTCTTGAATCGGGGGCGTCCAAGAGGGGGGCGTCCAAGAGGGGGGGTGCAAATCATGGCCGGCGGCATGGCCCAGGGGGGGGGCCGGGGACGCATTGAAATAAGGAGAGGCGCCATGAAATCTGGGGAAAAATCATGGCCCACGCCCAGATATCGCCCCCCCCCCCCCCCTCCCCCTCGTCATCACGTCACCACCCCCCTCTTGGCCTCGGGGATCTTCTGACCCGGGTCAATCCAGACCCGGGTCAGCAGGACACCAAAAACTGAAATGCAGGAACAAAAAACTGCAACGCAGGTCTTCGCAAACCCGGGTCAGCCAATAGGCGCGGCCGCCTCGCGGCCACGAGCGGCTCGCTAACCCGGGTCAGCCAGAGGGGCTCTTCGCAGGATCCTGCAGGATCTGGTGCCCTGGCTGACCCCCGTCTGCATTGACCCCCGTCTCGAGGCTCCCGATTTTGGACGCCCGAAATGGGTACGGAAAGAATGGGTACAATGCCCAACAACAAATGTTGTCCCAAACCAACAGCGGCCGCTGATGGGCAGGCGGCCTTCTGTCTCGAATGGACACGGGCCGCGGCGGCGTGGACAGCGAGTCCTGTTCAAAAGAAACAAGATCTGCTGTTGGGCATTGTACCCATCCTTTCCGTACCCATTTCGGGCGTCCAGAGAGAAGGCCTTCTCAGAAGGTTCGGAAGTCCCCTGGCCTTCGGAGATGTTCTCGAAGATTTCCCCGTAGACAGGGAAACAACTTCTCAGAAGGCGTGAGGCCTTCTGGGAAGTCCCGCCTTCTTCTGAGAAGGCCTTCTCCTTCTCCCTTCCCTCCCTCGATCGCCGCCAAACGAAATCGGTCCTGGACAAATCGGGATCTCTGATACCCAGCAGTTCTGGAGTCTGTATCGGGACCTGCGGCAGTTTCAAAGCGCTTTGGAACAATCCGAAAGCAGCATCATTTGCGGGACGGGAAAATGACCACAACCACTGCTTCTTGTTCGCGCCGCCTTCCAGCCGGCCGAAAAAGAAGCAATGGTTGTGGTCATTTCCCTGGTGCCGAGCTCAACGAAAATGACCACAACCACTGCCTTGTTCCTGCGGGCTGGAAGGCGGCAACCAAAGAAAAGCAGTGGCTGTGGTCGTTTTCACGCCCCGTAGCGTTGTACCCATTCTCTCCGTGCCCATCTCGTTCGTGCAGACCGACGACCGCCAAACGATGGCAGGCCCGGGTCCTCGCCGCTGTCCAGCCGCGCGGGCCGCTGCCGCGGCGGCGCGGCCGCCGGGGCGGCGGCCGCCGCCGGCGCGGCGCCCCCGCGGGCCGAGCGGGGGGGCTCCTCGGGGTCGGGCCGCGGCGCCCCGGAGGCGGACGACCTCCGCGGGGGGTGCAGCGAGGTCGGGCGTGTGCCTCCACAGGAGGAGGAGCCAAAGATGGTCCACAAAAGCGAGCTGGGGACGACTCTTCTACGATGTTCTGGTCAGATCTGAACAGGTGTGGACTATTCTTACCTTCTTCGTCCAAGCTCCGCCTGTAAGGGGACATGCCCGACCCAAGGGCACAGTCAAAACTCAAGGGGACCAAGGGCATGCAAATAAATACACACAAATCCTAATCCCACCAGCCCTTTGGGCGTGAGTGGTTTAGGGAGCTCTTTCTGTTCTCAACCCCCCATCTTCCCCTTCGGGGAGGGGTTTACCCCTCCCCCTACCCCCTCCCCCTGGGCCTGGAGAGGGCGGGCCGAGTGGTGCCAAGGGGGTCTTTTTCGACTCCTGGGAGGGCCAAAAACCGACGACCCTCACGAGGATTCTGGCCCCGAGGGGGGGGGGGCAGTTTGGCGCCTCAGACCTTCTTGGAAGCCAAAATCATTGATTTTACTACGGTTTTGGCCCCATTTTGGCCTTCTGAGGGGGCCGCGCTCCTCTTCCTTCATAGCAAAATCATTGATTTTACAAAGGTTTTGGCCTCATTTTGTCTTTCTCCGGGGCTAGCGCTCATTTGCGCGTCTGAGGAGGTCGCAAGAGGCCCCAAGATGGCCCCAAGAGGCCCCCAGGAGGCTCCCAAGAGGCCTCCAAGAGGCCCCCAAGAGGCCCCCAAGAGGCCCCAAGAGGCCCCCAAGAGGCTCCCAAGAGGCCCCCAAGAGGCCCCAAGAGGCTCCAAGAGGCCCCAAGAGGCCCCCAAGAGGCCCCCAAGAGGCCCCAAGAGGCCCCCAAGAGGCCCCACGAGGAGCCCGAACGACTCACACCAGGACGAGAGACCCCGAACGACTCACACCACGAGGAGCCCGAACGACTCACACCAGGAGGAGGAGCCCGAACGACTCACCCCAGGACGAGGGGCCCCAACGACTCACACCACGAGGAGCCCGAACGACTCACACCACGACGCGGGCCCCGAACGACTCACACCACGAGGAGCCCGAACGAGTCACACCAGGAGGAGGGGCCCGAACGACTCACACCAGGACGAGGGGCCCGAACAACTCACACCACGAGAAGCCCGAACGACTCACACCAGGACGAAGAGCCCGAACGACTCACACCACGAAGAGCCCGAACGACTCACACCAGGAAGAAGGGCCCGAACGACTCACACCAGGACGAGAAACCCCAAACGACTCAATTCACGAGGAGCGCTTTCTCTCCCTCCTCCTCCGCCTCGTCATTCTCCCGCTCTCCCCACAAGGAGGATTCACAAGGAGGCGGGAGGAAGGAGGGACAGGGGAGATATACGGAGCCCAGCGGACACACGCCTGAAAAACACAACTGTCGACATGCTTCGCGAGAGTTGTTGCTGTGAGATGGGCTGGTGGGGATACGCGAAGCGTAAACAATTTTCTGATGAGATAATGTGTTGATTAGCAACAAGATCTCTTTTCATCTTGAGCCAAAATGGCTACACGGAGGAGGGTGTCAGAATCACTCCTCCTCGGGCCTGGCCGCCAACCCGGCCAGGCACGACATGCGTCGTACGCGGGCGCGTCCAAGCCGACACGCCCTTCTCAACGTCACGCGCGGGCGCGTCCCAGCCGACGCGCCCATCTCGTCACACGCGGGCGCGTCCAAGCCGACGCGCCCATTTCATCAGCCGGGCTGCGGCCATGCCGCGAGCCCCTCACTTCACCCGTCCGGTGCGATCCTACCGCCACCGGCGGAAACTCATCCAGCCCCACAGGTAGCGGAGCATGGATTCGATCCACTCCTTCACTTGATGTCCTTCTGGGTCGAACTCGGTGCCCGATCCCAGATGTTGAGCGTCGCCATATGTCTCCTCAAGAGAGATCCACCCACGCTCTTAGTCAGCACGTCCGCGACGTTGTTCTTACCAGGAACTGCGGCGATCGAAAGGTCGCCCTTGCCTACACGCTCCTGGACCCACAGGTATCGTGACTGAACATGTCGCATCTTCCCGAGACCTCGCCGTTGGACGTGGCCCCGGGCCGCCGATGAGTCTGAGGCGAGCTCCACCTTCAGGTCCAGCCCCCAGTCTGCGAAGAGGCTGTGTAGACCCAGGCCCACGCTCCCGCCCTTGACCAGGGCGTAGTACTCGCTCTCCCCACTGCTCAGAGAGACCGTCGACTGCAGATTGCTGCCGTGCTTGATGACGTGATGCCCCAGCATCGCCACGAAGCCTCCCGTACTTTTCCGAGTGACTGCACAGCCCGCATGATCGGAGTCCACGTACACCCGGATCTTGTCGAACATCTTCTGCTCCGTGAAGACCGTCACCGTACTGGGATGCCGCTTGAGGTAGCGGCCAACCCTCTTGAGCATGAGCCAACTCGCCTCCGTCGGCGTCTGCATAGACCTGGCGAGCGTCTTCGATGCCTCTGCCAAGTCCAGCCTGTCCTGAGACAGGTAGGCTACCCTCATGGTGAGGGATCGGAAGCGCGAAGCTTCCGCCGCTCCCAGCGCCGCTGACTTCGCGTCCATCATCTGCTTGTCGGCGCTGCGCTTCTCCATCGGCGTGTCCACGCCGTTGGCCTTGCTGAGACCCAGCTCGTCGATCACGATCTCTGCGTGCCGCTTGTCCGGCTCAATCATCGCATGCCGGCAGGGACGGCCACCGCCAGGCGGAACTCCCGCACTGACTTCGATGACCCGATTCAGGAAGACCGCCTGCTTGTCATCGCCCTCGTCGAAGCCGAGGTTCGCAGTCTTCTTGAACTCGTACTTCTTGCCCAACGTGGCTTCGAAGCTGTCGATGTCCTGCTGCTGAGCCAGCACCGCGAAGTCGTCGCCGTGCCCCAGCAGCCTTGTCTCGTCCACCTCCTTGTAGAAGACCGCTGGGCATGACATGCCCGCCTTGTAGCCGTGTTCCTCCAACAGCTCCGTGTAGTCGCCCTGCCAGATCTTGCTGGCGTCCTGCGTGCCGTACCAGGACTTGAGGAGTAAGCCACACTTGTCCTCGCCGTACTCCTTGCGACTCTCCTCCTCCAGCTCCACGAAGATCCTTCGCTGCGCCTTCCCGTAGAAGTGCGCCCTGCTGATGTCGAAGAAGCCGATCTTGAAGTTGCCCGGCTTCCTGCCCTTCTTGCGAAGCGACTCCTGAATGTGGAGCGGTGCTTCCCGCGCCCACGTGACCATCAGCGAGACCAGCGACCGCATGGCCTCCAGAGGAGGCATTGCCGAGAAGACCTCGGACGCCTCCAGCTGCTCGTCCGGACGCTTCTTCGCCTTGATCTCCTTCACGACGAGCCTGCTCCTGTAGTTGGGCCTCTCCGCGTCGCCCTTGTTCGTGTCGACCCACTTGAGTGGGATGGGCGGACGCCCAGTCTCAGCGAAAGCCTGAGACCTCGGGACGATCTCGATCAGCTCCTGCTTCTTGACCCACTCGCGCTCGACCGCGCGAGCCTGGGCCACAAGGCCTGCCTCCAGGTAGCCGCCGTTGACGTCGTCCCAGTAGCTCGTCCAGTCCCCGGGCGGCACCGCCGCGTCCACCGGGACTGGGCCCGACTGCTGCACCTGGGCGGTGCTGAGCTCCCCCACGTCGTTCAGCGTGTCCTTGAGCTCCTCCAGCACCGCCTCCACCAACTTCGGTGGATAGACCTTCGCGAACCGCGCGATGCCGCCCACGAGCGTGATGTGGCGATGCCACTCCGCGCGTCCGTCCACATTGCTGCAAGTGCCCTGCAGTCTCCGAGCCAAGCCTGGGTGGTTGGTGACCCACCCGGTCTCCTTGCGCACGAACTCCTCCTGGCCACTGCGTGGGTTCGTGAGCTTCATGCCCCACCGACACATGGGGCCTTTGACCGTGAAGACTCCTGGATGCGCGACCAGCTCCTTGACGATGTCCTCATCCCACGATCGCGCGCTCCAGGGATGCTCATGCAGGAAGTACCTGCCTGGTTTCCTGAGCTGACGCCAGTAGGCGTCGACTGCCACCTTCAGGTGGTGTCTGGCCTCCTCCATCTCAGCCGCCTCCTGCTCATCGGTCCTGAACTTGGCGCTCAGGCCCCTCAGCAAGCTGAACTTCTCGCATGGAGGGGACCCCGTAAGCAGGATGGGATCCATCCGCTCCTGCAGCTCCTCGAGCTCCTTGATGTCCTCGGGTCGCCGCAAGTCCCACGGCGTCCCGTCCTCCTTGAGTTCCTCCAGGTCCGCCGCGAAGCCCGGGCGCAGCTGGAACTCCGCCGCTCGCGCCGAGAACCGATGCGGCGAGTGCACCTCTGCCACGTCCACGGCGCCCAGCTGCAACGCCGATAAGGCGATGCTGTCCACCTCCTCGTCGGCGATGTCCACGCCGACACTGGCCCAGTGGCCGCTGACCTGTTCACGAACGAGCGGAAGCAACTCCGCCTTCGCTCTCGTCAGCACTCCGAGCTCGACCAGCTCGATTGACGCCACGTCGAGAGCGAGCACCCGCATGTGTCTCCCCTCGCTGGCGTTCCACACGACTGCCACTCCAGCTGGCAGCTGAGGTCCTTCCGCTGGCGCCGGCTGCGCCGCGAGGTCCTCCATGTCCACCGGTACCGGCACGTCTGCCGGCTGTGGATCACCGCGCTCGAGGGCCTCCGGCACGTCATCCGGGGCCACCTCCGCCAAGCGCTTCAGCCGCGACCTGGTCGCGGTCATGTCGACATCCTCGGCGGCCTCTGCCGCTCTCACTGCTCCCGAACTGGAGCTCGCTCCTCCTGAAGGAGCCGCCACGCCGGAGCCTGATGCTCCCGGCTGGCTCTCTCGCATGCGCGCCGCTGCTGCTGGCGCTGCTGCTGATCGGCTCGCGGCCGGCGCCGACGCCGCCGCTGCCACTGGCTCGGTGATCCTCCGAGCCGTCTTCGGCGGAGGGGTCCCTGCCGCGGCCGCTGCCGCCGGGCGGACTCTGGCCTCTTGGCCCTGCCTCCGCTCTCGATACTGGCCGGTCCTCTCCCGGCCTGCCTCCTCAGCGTCCAGCGCTTCGAAGATTCTCTTGCTGCACACCGCGTTGTGCGCATGGCCAGCCAGCACCTTGCCGTGCTTGGCGATCGAGACGCACCCTGGGCATCCCGGCGTTGCGCCCAGCCGCTCGACGTCCGCCTTGAGAACGTACATCCTCCTCGGCGCCTGCGGCTGCGGCGGCACCACCACAATCGGTGGCGGACCGGCCTCTCCCGGTCCGACGATGGCTCGCGGCGCACTGGCCGCACGCGGAGCCACGTCCCACGGCAGGCCCTTCAGGCTGTCCCAGCCCGCCGTGATCCACTTCTCGCTCTGCGGCAGGCTGCGAAAGCCGACCGCCTTCTTCACACCGTCGCTCGTGATGACCATCATCGAGCCGTCGCGCGGGTGGTGGCCAATGTAGCGGGCCTCCACCATCTGTTCCTCCAGCGCGTTCTTCCTCGTGCGCTCCCCGGCGAACCGCACCATCAGGCGCTCGCCGAAGAGCGGGACCGGCTTCCTCCACTGCCGTCCCGTGAGCCGCTGAAGAGCGGTCTTGCCGTCCTGGCCGCGCCTGTATCGGTTGATCACCGATGCGGCGTGCTCCGGCAGGTGCGCTAGCACTGGGTGCTTGTCCTCCACCTTGACGCCCAGCTTGGACTCCAGGTCCATCTTGAGCGCTCGCACCTGCTTCTTGATCTCGCGCACCGTGACCTCGATCTCCCCATTGGCCTGATGGTCGGCCGGTGCCGACTCCTGGGGAATGGCCTCGAGGCCAGGAACCTCCTCCACCGCACGCCTCTTGACCAGCAGGATCGCTGGCTCGCCGTCGGACTTGTTGACGATCTTCCTGTAGCCCAGGATCCGTAAGAAGCGTGCGAAGAACTTGATGGCGTAGGCGTCGTCGCCCTTCTTCTCCACGAATGTCGCTGCCATCATCTTCGAACGTCGATCCCGAAGGACCAGCATCGGCATGGTGTCCGCGTCGTCCTGGCCCATGAAGGCGTAATCGGACGAGACCACCGGCACCGCCGTCTCGTCGTCCTCCGGTGCGCGGAGATGCGGCTGGCCTTGGCCCTTTGCCGCAATGCACACGCGACACCAGCTGCGGTAAGTCGCGTGTCCCATCGCCTCGTGCTCGGCGATCTCTTTCTGAGAGGGCTCATGAGGTGCCTTCAGCACCCTCGGGCGAGCCTCCTCCTCGCCCTCTTCGGCCTGCTGTCCATCAGGAGCAGCTGGCAAAGCGTCAGCCGCCGCAGCTGCTGCTGGCTGAAAACCCGGCGGTCTCATGTCGGAAGGTCCCGACCCCGCCGCTGCTGCCCCTGCAGCCGATGCCGCAGGGGACTGCTGTATTGAGTCTTCCAGTGGACTTACGCCGAGGGCTGCCTCCTGGGGACTGTCCTCTCGAGGATCTCCAGCAGCTCCTCCTTCGACTTGCCGCTGAGTAGCTCCACCAGCTCGGACTTCGACTTCGCCGAAAATCCCTCCTCGAGAGGAGCAACCGAGCCATGTTGGCCCTTCTTGAGGTAGAAGTTGTAAACGCCCTGCTCACGATAGACCGGCAGCATCTGGTGCTTCGCCGTCTTCGCCTCCTTCTCCAGCATGCCTACTACACGCTTGCCGATTGGGCTCTTCTCGTGGAATATCCAGCCGCCATTGCGGCCTAGGAATGAACACTGTCCAGCTCCTGCTGCCTGCCCCACCGAGATCAACGGCTTGTGCACGTTCGTCACGCGTCCCTTGAGCGCTCGTAGCACTCCGTACTCATCCTCAGCCTTGAGCTGCAAGCTGCCCTCGTCCGGGACAAGCTCACCACTGGCCGTACGATACGTGCTGCCGTTGCCCTTCAATCCCGTCGGCGGCGCGAAGCTCCGAGGGAATGCTGAGACCGCTGCACCGCTGTCCCAGTTGAACTTCATCCAGTCGTCCTGCGCGAAGGGAGAGAGGTCGACCGCTGCTACGCCGCGGCCGCTGCCGCCGGCGAGCTCCAGGCAATCCAAGCTGCCCATATCCAGAGCGGCGACCTCCGCTTCAGGCTCCTCCTCCAGGCTGCCTGCAGCCTTGCCGCCGGCCTTGCCGCCGCGGCCACCACCTTTACCACCAGCGCTTGCCCCCGTTGCGGATCCAGTTCCAGCCCTCGTACTCGATCCCTGCTCTTTCCTCCAGCATTCGGATGCCTTGTGGCCCCATCTCTCGCAGTTCCGACAGTAGCCGTCGAAGCGCACGCCGGTGCTTCGGGGTGCCGTGTGCCCGGAACCACGGCCCGAACCCGTCGGGGATGTGCGGGAGCCTGAGTATGATCCGCTCGTCGATTTGCTCTTCCCCTTCGTCTCCTGGGCCTTGCCTTTCCCTTTGCTCTTGCCGTCCTTGCCCTTGCCTTTGCCTTTTCCTTTCGGGGCTCCGAACGATCCGACGTCCATGTCGTCCGGATGGTGCGCCCGTGCGCGGATCGATGGCTCCTTGATCTTCACGCCTGTCCGAGCCTCCACGATCGTCATCACCTCGTTCAGACTGTCCTGGAACGTTACGAGCCGATGCTTGTTGAGTACGAGGTGGTTCTCGATGTCCTGAGGCACGAGCATCTCGAGGGCCGCCATCTTGATATCCTCCGGCAGCTCGGCCAGTCCGTCCTCTCCTTGGCGGCGTTCGTACTTGCCTATCTGCTGGATCCATTTCTCTAAGGCGGACCCCAGCTCTTCCGCGTTGCACTTCGGAGGCGAGATGATCGATCTCAGGATCAGCCTCTTCCTCGGACCTGTCGTCGGGTCCCACCTGCGGTGAAGTTTCCGCCAGGCCTCGAGACCGTTCCCGTCTGGCGCGCCCGTCACGAGGTCGTTGCTCTCGCTGCCGTCCGCCGTCGTGCTGATCAGCGCCGCGTACAGCTGGTTGATCTTGGTCACCAGCTCTGGTACTCCTCCGTGCGCCTCCTGTGCCCCTTCGATCGTCACGGGGCGTTCGGCTTCTGCCGCCCACCGGAGAACAGGACGGAAGCTCTCTCCGTACACGCCTATCACGTAGTTCTCCATCTTGCGGTTCCAAGCTCCGAACTTCTCCTGATCGTCGCCTAGCGTCGTGGGCTTGCCGATCCCCTTCGTGTCGACGAGACCTGGTGCGGCTCCTCCCGCGTGCGTAGCTCCTCGGATCTGCTCGCCCATGCGCTCGATCGCCTGCGGAATCGCCGCGAGGCCTCCGGCTACTTGTTGCTGAAGCCGCTGATTCTCGTTCTCGAGCCTCCTCATCTCGTCGACGGTCTGACTCATGCGGGCTGCGAACTCCTGCCTCAGTAAGTCGAACTGCTGCCGAACTTGCTCGTCCATGTTTAATTGCGTGCTTCCTGGCGAGCTCCTCCTTGCGTTCTGAGATCTCCTGCCTCGTACGCTCGAGGTCTATGATCTGATCTAAGACCTCCTTCTTCGCCTCCTCGATTGCTCCTGACGAGTTCTCCGAGGGATGGTCCTCGATGTACGCGAGGTCGTGCAACTTGTTGCCCGTGTCCTTCAGGCCGCGTTTGAACTGCAACTGTCGTCTTCGATTCTCAACAGCTGCGTCACTCCTCTTGCCGCGCCTGCGGCCGCTCTTCGGTGGTCTCCTCTCAACCTCTGCCGGTGGTCCGGCCTCTGCTGTGCTCGGTGCGGCTGATGCCGCTCTCTTCCAGCCTCTCGCCTCGGGCCACGCGCCCTGCCAGCTCGCCGTGGCGCCGCGCGCGCCGCGAGGCCCTGGTGGGTCGCAGCAGTGAGTGGCCAGCTCACGCTACCATGATGAGATAATGTGTTGATTAGCAACAAGATTTCTTTTCATCTTGAGCCAAAATGGCTACACGGAGGAGGGTGTCAGAATCATTTTCTCCATATGTTCCCATATTTTCTGGAATTCCGTCTTCCCACCCACTTCCCATAGTCTCCCATATGTTTCCGGGAATCGACGATTCATTGTCTGTGTGTTGTTTCCCCTCCCAAAAAGCGTGTATAAAGAACGGGTGACAAGGACGCACGACCCTTGGAGGCCGACGTTGGGATTTCTGAGGCGGCGGGCGACCAGCGAAAGCGGCAGAAGACGGGCCGCAGAGGCGAGGACACCCGGGCACCCTGAACGAAGGCGCGCGTCCTCCCTGGGCGCGTTGACTGCACGGCGACCCCAATCTGATGGGCCCGTCTTCCACCACCGTCACCATAAGTTGGAGGGGGGAAGGAGGAAGACGAGGTGGGAGGAGGAGGAGACGGAGGACCAAGAAGAAGACCCCCTCCCACTCCAACTTCTGGTGGTGGTGGTGGAAAACAGGCCCATCACAATTCCGGACTTGCTGCGGGGTCTCGGCTCAGTGGGCCCTGGAAGCGGCAGAGCTATTTTCGTAACCAATTCCGTTTTGCAATTTTTATGTTGCCCGTTCCGGCGCCGTTGTTGTTCCAATGCCGTCGCAATTGAATTGCCGGCCGTTTTTGTTACCGCTTCAGCTGCGAAAGAACTAACCCAAAAATATGCCCTGCCATTCCCGAGGCCTACGAAGGGTCTCCAGCGGACCGAAAACTCGAGGCCGAACTCGGGGATGTGCAAACGGAGCGGCGTCCACTCTCGATAATCATGGGGTGCGCCCGAGTAGCCCCCCTTCCTGGGCGTGTCCCCGAGCTCCCGGCCTTGTCGGAGCGGCCAGTTCTTTTCGGGCGGAACTTGAGAATGGGGATCGGTTTGCATCGCCGGCGAGACCTCGGCGTGCCAGTCCATGCCCTCTCCCATCGCGGGCTCGGGCCTGGGAGGGACAACGAAACAGCAGAAGCATCGACGCTGCGCTCTCAGGCCCTCGCGCGCGCTGCTCCTCCCGCGATGTTTCGCCTGCGCGGGCCTTCCTGGGAGGCCCGCGCCACCACAGAATCGTGGTCAGAACGCACTCCGGGAGAAGCCCCGGGAGTAGCGTTAGGTCGGGCATGTCTACAGGGGGATCTTGGACGAAAAATCAGAAACATCCCAGAAACATTCTAACATGAGCAGAAAATGCAAAAAATACTCCCCAGACTATTTATGGAATACTTTTGGATTTTCCTGCTGTAGAAGGACAGGCCCGACTTAACCCAGGCGTGCGGAGCGCGCGTACGCCAGAGGCGGCGCCGGGGGGGGGGGCGTCCAGCACAGATCCGACAGCAATTCGCGCGAAACTCGGAACACGTCGATGCTTACGCGATGCCGCCACTCCCCGGGCCTCTCACGGGGCGCGTTCTGATCAGGATTTCGAGGCGAATCCAGCCGTGTCGGCGAGGGCCTGCCAGGAGGCCCAGAACAAGCGGAAGCCAGGGAAGACCAGCGCACACGAGGGAACGAGCGGCACGGTCATGTCTATGTTTTTGCTTCTTCCTCGACTAGAGGCCTCTAGATGGGGTCCAGATATACGGGGTCGGAGGATCGCGCCGCATCGCCAATGCATCGCCGATACGTCGACGATGCATCGGCGATGTATCGACGAGGTTTCGGCGATGCATCTGCGACATCCGCGATATCGGCGATGCAGCGCGGTCCTTCGACCCCATCTACTCTGACCCCATCTGGGAGGCGTAGATCGACAGATTCGGGAATCTACTGACCCGGAACCTGGGTCAATCAGGCTTTGCAGGATCCTGCACAATCCTCCAACATCCTGCGGGATCCTGCACCAAAGGCCGTGTCAATGCGACGCTGACTCTACAGGATTCTGAAAGATCCGGCGCTCTGACTAACCATTTCTGCGTTCCCTGAGATCCGACGTAGCGAAAAAAATGCAACATCGTAAAAAATCACGCCCAGAACCCAAGACCCCATCTTTCTGCATCATTTCTCCAGCTAGATCGATCTGTGAGGGTCCCGGGGCCCGAACAGAGGCGAAAACGCCCGGCTCGAAAAAATTGAGACGCCAAGATCTCAGGGTCGAGCCCGACACGGGTACGGAAGAACTAGGTACGATGCCCAACAACACATGTTGTCCAAAAGCGACAGCGACCGCTGTCGGGCAGGCGGCTCTCTGTCTCGAGTGGATACCGCCCGCAGCGAAGCCGACAGCAACTCCTTTCTTCAGAATGAACAGGATTTGCGGTTAGCCTATGTACTTGGAATCTGTCGGTGCCCATGACATCGTTTTCTGCTTCGGCGCTTCGACATTGAGCGTAAGGGGGGGAGGGGCGGGGGTCCGGCTCCGGACCTCTGCTTGACGCGACGGTTTGCAACAGTGCGTCCTGTGGGAGACTCCACCTGCCTGAAACAGATGCCAAAAACTCCCAAAATGTACTCAATGGCCAGGGGGGGAGGAGTGCAGGGGCCCGCGCCGATCGGCAACACAATGAATATAAGAAAACGATCCCAATGTCAATCCTCCAGCTATGTTTTGAATTCGGAAAACGCTATAAGCATAAACTTCAGCCGCTCCGTGCGGATTTCTTGGATATGCGCTGGACCCCCTCACTGGCGCGCGAGCGCGCCAAGGGCAGCGCCGGAGGCGGCGCCGAATGGGCCCCGCGGGGATCCAAGAAACCCGCGCGGAGCGCCTGGCGTTTGTTGTGTTTCAAGAATATGTCTTGTCGGGGGCGCGCAAACATGGATTAGCGATCCATGGATTTTGCGCGCGGTCGCCAAATCCATGGATCGGGGGGGGGGGCCCTCTCCAAAATGCAGCCGGTGCCGCCTTGCTCGGCAGCAGAAGTCCACGATCTCCCATGGAAGTGGGACCGTCGCTCATCCACGCCCTCCTTGATCCATGCTTGCGATCGCCTGATCTTTGCTTTGCTCCTCGGCGCCCGGCTCCCCCAGCTGCGGCTGCCGGAGGCGCCGCCAGGGGTGCCCAGCGCGGATCCAAGAAATCCGCGCGGAGCGCAACAAGTTTCTGTTTGTGGCGTTTCTCTTTATTCTAAACATATCTGGGGGATCGAGATGTGGATCGTCTTTTTACCTAACAGCGAAGACTGATAGGTTTCTAGTAGGGTCAAAAGAGCTCACAGATCACTCCACAGGGGGGTCCGGGCAGGCGTTGGGAGTTGCCGGGCGGGCCTGTGCCCGGCTCGTTTTTCACCAACAGTCACACACTTCGTGCTCGTCGACCTCTCAGAACCCCATTCCCAGGCCACATTCTGAATAACCGGATGCAACAGTCACACACTTCGTGCTCCTTGACCTCCCAGAACGCCATTCCCGGGCCACCTTTAGAATGCCCGGAGCCAACTGTAGGCCACTTCGTGGTCTTCGAGTTCCCAGAACTCCATTCCTGGGCATGATTTTGAATGCCCGGAGCCAACTGTAGGCCACTTCGTGGTGTTCGAGTTCACAGAACTCCATTCCTGGGCATGATTTTGAATGCCCGGAGCCAACTGTAGGCCATTCCGTGTTCTTCGAGTTCCCAGAACTCCATTCCCGGGCCACACTTTGAATGCCCGGAGCCAACTGTAGGCCACTTCGTGGTGTTCGAGTTCCCAGAACTCCATTCTGGCATGATTTTGAATGCCGGAGCCAACTGTAGCCATTTCGTTGGTCTTCGAGTTCCCACAACTCAATTCCGGGCCACACTTGGAAAATGCTCGAGCTGGTGATGTGAGGCTGATGCAGGCTGAGGCTGAGGCAGGCTGAGGCTGAGGCCGAGGCTGAAGGCAGACTGAGGCTGAGGCTGAAGCAGGATGAGGCTGAGGCAGATGCAGGCTGAGGCTGAGGCAGGCTGATGCTGAGGCAGGCTGAGGCTGAGGCTGAGGCTGATGCAGGCTGAGGCTGAGGCAGGCTGTGGCTGAGGCCGAGGCTGAAGGCAGACTGAGGCTGAGGCTGAAGCAGGCTGAGGCTGAGGCTGAGGCAGGCTGAGGCTGAGGCTGAGGCAGGCTGTTGCTGAGGCAGGCTGAGGCTGAGGCTGAGGTTGATGCAGGCTGAGGCTGAGGCAGGCTGAGGCTGAGGCCGAGACTGAAGGCAGACTGAGGCTGAGGCTGAAGCAGGCTGAGGCTGAGGCTGAGGCAGGCTGAGGCTGAGGCTGAGGCAGGCTGATGCTGAGGCAGGCTGAGGCTGAGGCTGAGGCTGATGCAGGCCGAGGCTGAGGCAGGCGGAGGCTGAGGCCGAGGCTGAAGGCAGACTGATGCTGAGGCTGAGGCAGGCTGAGGCTGAGGCTGAGGCAGGCTGAGGCTGAGGCTGAGGCAGGGTGATGCTGAGGCAGGCTGAGGCTGAGGCTGAGGCTGAGGCAGGCTGAGGATGAAAGGCAGAACTGGGGGGGGGAAAAAAAAGGGCCCGGGGGAGGAGGGACGAGGAATGAAGGCAGACTGCGGCTGATGCTCTGAAGCAGGCTGATTGGCTGAGGCTGAGCAGGTGAGCTGAGAAATGAGGCAGGGCTGGGTGCTGAGCAGGCTGAGGCTGAGGCTGAGGCTGATGCAGGCTGAGGGCTGAGGCAGGCTGAGGCTCTGAGGCCAAGGCTGAAGGCAGACTGAGGCTGAGGCTGAAGCAGACTGAGGCCAAGGCTGAGGCAGGCTGAGGCTTAGGCTGAGGCAGGCTGATGCTGAGGCAGGCTGAGGCTGAGGCTGAGGCTGATGCAGGCTGAGGCTGAGGCAGGCTGAGGCTGAGGTGAGGCTGAAGGCAGACTGAGGCTGAGGCTGAAGCAGGCTGAGGCTGAGGCTGAGGCAGGCTGAGGCTGAGGCAGGCTGAGGCTGAGGCTGATGCAGGCTGAGGCAGAGGCAGGCTGAGACTGAAGCCGAGGCTGAAGGCAGAGTGAGGCTGAGGCTGAGGCAGAGGCAGGCTGAGGCTGCGGCCGTGGATGAAGGGCAGACTGATGGGCTGAGGCTTGAGAGGCTGGGCTGAGGCTGAAAGCAGGATGAGGCTGAGAGGCAGGCTGAGGCTGAGGCTGAGGCTGAGGCAGGCTGAGGCTGAGGCCGAGGCTGCAGGCAGAGTGAGGCTGAGGCTGAGCAGGCAGGCTGAGGCTGAGGCAGGCTGATGCTGCTGAGGCTGAGGCTGAGGCTGAGGCTGATGAGGCTGAGGCTGCAGGCTGAGGCTGAGGCAGGCTGAGGCTGACGCCGAGGCTGAAGGCAGACTGAGGCTGAGGCTGAAGCAGGCTGAGGCTGAGGCTGAGGCAGGCTGAGGCTGAGGCTGAGGCAGGTGAGGCTGAGGCAGGCTGAGGCAGGCTGAGGCTGAGGCTGAGGCAGGCTGAGGCTGAGGCAGGCTGAGGCTGAGGCCGAGGCTGAAGGCAGACTGAGGCTGAGGCTGAAGCAGGCTGAGGCTGAGGCTGAGGCAGGCTGAGGCTGAGGCTGAGGCTGAGGCAGGCTGATGCTGAGGCAGGCTGTGGCTGAGGCTGAGGCTGATGCAGGCTGAGGGTGAGGCAGGCTGAGGCTGAGGCCGAAACCGACGGCAGACTGAGGCTGAGGCTGAAGCAGGCTGAGGCTGAGGCAGAGGCAGGCTGAGGCTGAGGCTGAGGCAGGCTGATGCTGAGGCAGGCTGAGGCTGAGGCTGAGGCTGATGCAGGGTGAGGCTGAGGCAGGCTGAGGCCAAGGCTGAAGGCAGACTGATGTTGAGGCTGAAGCAGGCTTGAGGGCGAGGCTGAGGCAGGCTGAGGCTGATGCAGGCTGAGGGTGAGGCTGAGGCAGGCTGAGGCCGAGGCTGAAGGCAGACTGATGTTGAGGCTGAAGCAGGCTGAGGGCCGAGGCTGAGGCAGGCTGAGGCTGAGGCAGGCTGAGGCTGAGGCTGAGGCAGGCTGAGGCTGAGGCTGTGACTGCGACTGCCGTTGCCACTGCGACTGCCATCGCGAATGCGACTACGACTGCGAGAACAGCAGAA